TTTTGGATGTATTATACAATAATTTATGTTTTGTTAATTAACCAAGAAATATGGAAACGAATATAGATCGAATTTTCGTAAGTGCAAGTCTCAGTTGAGTAGAATGGCGTATACGGCTTCAATTTCAAGTCTCTGTAGAGGTATATTAGGATTGATAACGTAATTGGCAAAAGTGGCTGTTCTAAAAGTTTCTAACATACAGTTTCTTATATATATAAGATATATTATTAAGGATTTTCAAAATAAACCACTAATTGATTCTCTGAAAATACAAAGTTATTATTTTAATTAATACATCTTTACGGTATTGCAACTTATCGTTTAACTATGACAATTATTCTTAAATCTTACCTAAAAATACAAAGAAACGACATTTAAAGTTTACTATAGCCTCCTCGTTTATAATTTTTAATATTAAATTAGGTATCTTTCTAGGAAACTACAAATTTTTTTTAGATTGTTATAATGGCTTCCACAGACAACCTATAAATGGGCGAACAAGCAAAGCGCGGGAAATTCAAATTAATGAAAGATCATTTCATTAAATATATAATTATATACTTTTTCGTATTCACTGTATGTGACCATGATAATAGTATTATTAAAATCACAGTGACCGCTTTAGTCAAACGTAACTGTATGCCAATAAAAATTTAAAATCCCAGACAAAAATGATTTCATACCTCACCTCCACGTAACCGTATTGGTAGCCGTAGCAAGTTTACTACGGCGTAGCAATTTTGCTACAGACGTAGCTGCTACGTGCATGTTGGAATTTGAATACTGAAATTGAATTTATGTCTTGTCTAAATAACCTTCTGACATTTATGTCTATGTAAGTGATTCGATCGATATACAGATAAACTAGTTGCCTACTGTTTTATAAAAGAACTAAGTTTTTGACTTTTCACGTCAATTACAGACTCTTTTGTGAAATAATAAATTCATGAACTTTAAAATATAAATCATAGTTTGAAAGACATGAGCTCATTGTCGAATATTGTAATGGAAAATGAAATTAATCTTTACATGTATTTTGACATGAATGTTTGAGATAGTACTCGAGGGCACTCGTATCATATACGTATGTTATTATTTTTATATCAAGAGGTGATTTATGTGAAATGTGGATGGAAAAACATTGAATTGATGATATATTATTATAGCCATTGAAATATCCTATTCATGGTTATTACAATATTTCCAACACCATCCTGACACTAAGATTAAACACCGACTTACCATTTGATTAATCGACGATGGAAACGCTTAGAATTGATCGACGACTCGCCCAGTCAATGGTTGCAAGATAAATAGCTAGGCAGGGCGAGCATTGAATGCGTAACAAATGGTTATATCGCGTCGGCTCCCGTGATGCGGGACAACCGTTTTGTGCCACCGACCTGCATCACGGACACAATGCCTTAGATATCGACCTTTCTTCACGATTATAATGCCCTATTTCATTGATGAATTTCATCAGGATTATAATTTTATGAAAATCTATTCTTTGTGTTTTTTGCAAGTTATGCCTTTTCAGTAATAATATCGTAGAAGGGAAGTGATATTCATATATGATACGTAAAATTCAATATGATTCAATATGATATGCCTTCAGAAGCAATAGTATTTCAAAATAAACAAGAATATGTTTTATAGTCAAATCGAAGTCAAAATCATTTATTTTGATTAGATCAGAAAGGCACTTTTGAAAGTCAACATAAATACACCATTTGTTAGCACTATCCATAGCTTAGATATGACTGAAAAGATCACTGCTAATAAGGCTTTTTTAAGTGAGGAAAATCATCGAATGACTTCTCTTACCTGGGTGAGGCGGGAGGGAGTGTCAGACTCTTATTGACTAAAAACCACCCCAAACAAAACGCGACGCGCGGTACATTCGGGTCTGGTTCTGGCCGCAGGCCCGCAGGCCCGCACTTACGGTGGCCGGAGATCGTCTCGCGATCCCCGACGCCCGGAGTGTCCTTCGGAATGGCTGGGTTCTGAGGAGGCAGCGCTTTGCTGGCTCACGCGTCGCACCTCCTTCTTAGCTAGCATGACTGCTTCGCAAAAGGAGGAGACGACTGCTAATAAGGTTAGCGAGAAGTTGACACTTGGTTTGTGCAGTCATTAATTTTACCAAGGTGTGTGTGTGTAGTCCACTGTATACGAGCCCTCGTTTTCCTGTACGTTCCTGATATCGCTGGGCTAAAGAATTAGTAGTTCCTTTTTTATGTTTAGCTAAATTCTGTACTCATCACTACAAAGTCTCTATCTGTCGCCTGTCTGGCCCTATTTATGCTTAGATCTTAAAAAACTACGCAACTGATTTGGACGCGATTTTTTTAGATAGAGTGTTTATTAAGTGAGTTTATTGAGTGATTATTAAACCACATTTATATGTATAATACATGCATATTGCACCCGTGCGAAACCGGAGCGGGTAGATAGTTTTATGTATTTTAGTTATAGTTAATAATCATAACTGACACTGATGACAATGAATAAAAAAATTAGGTGTCAGATGTAAAAAAATGTCCTAGAATTGATTTAAGACCATTAAAAAATTCCATAAAAAGACTGATGACTGTTGAGGAAGCAAAAGAGGTATGTAAGAATCGTAGCAATTGGCCTTCCATAGTCGGAGTCGGCAGAGGTAGGCAGCTACCGCCATGGTAGACAGGTGTGAGGGCATGTAATTAATGTATGTCAGAATTTCCATGCTAGATTCTATTTACCTAGTTGGAAAGGCAGAAAAATAACATCCCAGCATTATTTTTCAGCTTCTTTAAAATAACAGGATAAAATTAAGCCTTTTATCAGCATGGCAAAGGTGCACATTACGGCACTTAATGTAATGTGGAATTGTGTCCGGTATATAGCAATAGGCTCACCCCATAATTACATGGAACTCATAACATAAATAGTGAAAAGTGGGTGTTACATTGTACAGTGGCACAATGTTCACCTCTGCCTACCACTTCGGGAATAAAGGCGTGATGTAATATTTGTATGTCTCTTTGTAGATGGAAATAAAACGACAAAATAAATTTTCGACATTTTATTGAGTCACATGTATTAAAAAACTGCTCTTCCCACAATGTTTCTTTAACCGACAACTTAACATTTCCTCACGCTGTTACATTAAATTCAATTATATCTCTTAGAATGAGCAAATTTTTTATTGTATTTTTACAATTTAATATAATATATACAACCAGTCCGGGAGGGTACGAACATGTAACGAATTCAAATTAAATTTATGAAACTTGTCATTAATTTAACAATTAATAAATTAATTTATTCTTTATTATTTCAATAATTAATGTATCTACATTATTTTATTACTTTATTTTAATAAATTTTGATATGCGACGGACATTCCAAAGTTCAATAAAATTAAACTAGATGATATAAAAATCATATGTCATTTCAATATAATTATAGTCATACAAGGCATAAATCTATTTTTTAACTTTCGTCATAAAATAATTATGCAATAAAATTATTTACATATCGTTATATCTGTACATTTATTTACATATAATTGTAATATTTAATTATCACACATTTTGCATGTGTATGGCAGTTTGTGCCTAAGGTAATTATAGTGACGACATGGATGAGACATTTTATATAATTATTTTTAGATGAGAAAATAATTATAATTATTTTTGTTATAACGAAATATTCTTACACCTTGTATAACATAAACGTAACAGATTTCTTTATCTGTTTTACATATTATTTATTGATTTAAAAATACAATTGAATTGTCTCCCACGTAATGTATCTAAAGTTTAATAACTTTATTATTATGATAGTTTTATAAAAAAATTAATCAACTTAATAAAGTTTAAAATAATTATTAAGGTAAAAATAATAATAAATTACTGCTTAAATTGAACATAATGACAACTTAACTTTTATTATACTGCCATCATCAATAAATCACAGGCATAATGAATTAATATTTCAATTAATTGACAAACTACTTAATTTACAGCAACGCAAACTAATGATAATTTAAATTAAATATGGACTGGCCTTTATTGTAATTTAATGAAAATTAAACATTTTATTGACACTTATATGACATTAACTTTTTACATTTTATTTATTGTAATAATTACATTTAAATCTTCTATTAGTGCATTGCGAAATGAAATTCCATATGTGAATATCGAAACACAATTTTTATATGTAATATTATATTTACAGATTGGTACTTAAGTCTATGTATCCTAAAGGAGCTTAGAGCCGTCCATCATTCTCTTAAAGAGTATCTAACTAATATTATCATTAAAACAATTTATTCAATAATTTTTCTAATAATTATCTTTTTATTTACTTAATAATTGTTCATCAGTCATTGTCTTATTTTTATAACTGCTAGAACGCATTACTGTTATTGCGAATCGATTTAAAATAAGATAACAATATCAACTTTAGTATTATTTTTTTCACATTTACAAGAATTTCGTCGGGGATAGTGCACAAATCCGCGGAACTAGCATTGGATAATTCCGCGTATCCGACAAATGTAACTAATTGTCGTGGAAATATCACGCAGAATCTTAATTGGCTGCCACCGCCTCAACACAAGTTCATTGCAACTCATTTTTTATATGTAAAAAATGAGCTTCAAATTCATCTTATACTATTATATAAAGCGGAAGAGTTTCTTTTTTTGTTTGAACGCGCTAATCTCCGTAACTACAAGTCTGATTTAAATCATTATTTTTGTGTTGGATAGCGCATTTATCGAGGATGACTATAGGCTATAAAACATCACGCTATGACCAATAGGAGCTAAGCACAGCGTGTGAAACCACGCGTAAGTAGCTAGTTGAATTAATAAAGTTGTTAAGTTTTAACCTTCCCCTGTAAAATGAATCTATTGCAGTTTGCAGATACGCGGCCTTTACATATGGTAGATACGCAGATTTGCACTATCCCCGACGACTTGGTTATGAAATAAAAATGGATATGGCATTTTATACACAGCTTTCTTGATGCGCCGCTAACAACGGTGTCCTTGTGGTGACAATTTCTCGATGTGACCTCATTGCACCGTTGATCATACCTCGACCGGAATCATTCTGTGGAAATATTGCACACGTGAATATGGTACGTTGAATTTTAGGTTTTATTTCTATGAGTACAGGAAATGTATTTGTGTGTTGTGAGTTTGTGACTGTGAATTGTTTTTGAAATCAATGTTGAATTCTTGTTGGGTGGAGTAGTGTTGGACCGGTAAGAACGTTAGGTACTCGCAATAATTACAAGTTACTTAGAAATAAACAAACCTGAAATTGTATTCAGAATATAGGTAAGGATTTTTATAAAACTATGTAGTTTTATAACATTATTTATAAAATATTGGCAATCCATATTAAAGACATTTCTAATCAATTAATAACGCAAAATAGATCATATAATTTACTATGAATAAACATAACTGAATGTATGAATATACCTGTTTGCTAAATAGCAAATATTAGTTGTGCTAAATAAGCAAAATGCTCAATTACAGCTCACCAATAGTTAGCCAAAGCTCTTTTGTGGAACTTATCCAATGAACATTGAATTATTGGTATGATTATTCAGTAAAACTATTATATGGCAAATTGAATACAAACAGTGGTGTTGCAATGGGTTCATAGCGGCCATAATTGATTGGCAATACTCATTGATTGGGTCAATCTTCTGTATTGCGTTCTATTCCTAAGGATTCTTTCTATTAAGTTGGTGTTACATGTGTGGGTTCCTTAGAATTCAGTTCGATGAACGTAGATTCTGTGTAGGTATGTGTTAAGAGTGTATTTGCTAGTTCATAATTTGTAGAGGTTAGAATAAGAGTAAACTGTAATTACAAAAGTCACAGTAATAGTGTAGGTAAGGGTCAATATGACTACAAGTGTCTCTTACACTTTTTTGACTATGGGTACATAGTTTACTAAGTAAAAAATATATAACAATAATTAGATAAATAATAATCGTACAGCTAAAGGTAAATATGTAAAAGAAATAGTAATAGTAGAGGGAGATACTACAATAAATAGATGAATAATAATCGGCTAAAGATAAATATGTAAAAGTAATAGTAGACGCAGATATTAGAACTAAATTGAATGTTAAAAATAAGGGTTAGGATAAATTCACATCAACAATAAAAGAAACGTTAAAGGTATGGGCAAAATAACAAGAATAAAAGAAGAGAAATAAGATTGAAATGAATCAAACCAAATCTCAAGTCACATGCTTAATAATTCAGTCATAGAAGAAAAAAAAATGTTAGGTTTATTTTAATGGGATAAGACGGTAAACGAGCACAAAGCGTCACAAGTGCGTTAGGGCCTTTTGAGGATTAGAAATTTGAGGTTTGGTGGAAATTCAAGGATTGGAATTAGTAAATGTGCCAACCTGCATATCAGTATAGTGTGCGTGTGATGAGATTGGCGTCACCGGCGTCTGTGTACGTTGCAAGCTGTGCGCGCTGTTTGAATTTTTTGGTTGAGCAATTGCAGAGTACAAGGGAGGATCGGGTGTAGCCTCTGTAACACCTGTATAAAAAAAAGACATTTGTTAGTTCATGCATGTGAACATTTTGTTCTTTGGTTGATATTAGTCATGTGTCGTTAAGTCCGTACACAATACAGTGATCGTTACATACTTAAAATAGTCTAGACACAAACTTAATTATTACAACTAATAGAAAACAAGCTAGTTAATAACAATTGTCTTTGAAGGAGATTTGTCTAACTAATTCCAAGGAATTCTCTCAAGACAACGATATAGAGGATTAGTGAAAAATATTTCTTTAATAAATTAAAACAAATTAATGAGGACGAAACATCTGAGATGTCGTAACGGCGCACAGCTGAAATTAATCATTGCTAACAATATATCAGGCTGGATTTTCGTCGAAGCAATTTGAAGAAGAGTTTAATATATTTCTGGAGATTTAAGTATTTTTTTCTTAAGTCCTAGAAGATGTAATACTGTTAGAAAATGGGAATTTTTAAAAACCTTTGTTAAAGCTAGTCTTTGTGAAAACATTTTTACTTTTACCGTTTCATTTAATTCAAAGTTAATCTTAAAAATGTACCTACGTAATAAAAGACCAGAAAATTCAATGAAAACCAATTACACAAAAACATGTTAAATTACTGAATCAAGTATTTATGTACGATATCAATAAAAGTGATCAGATTAAAGCTAACATTATCGTTACGTGCAATTGGAATTCAATTCCAACCGCGGCGTGTAATCAGTGAAATGATCTTAATTATTGGTCATGAATGACGTGACGTCATACTCATGGCCTGATTTTTCCACATAATATATTTAAAAAAATAAAAGGCGCTAGTTGGCTGTACGCTTAACGTTTTGTAAATGAGATTTATGTCTATAATTTCATGATTATTCTAGCTTAAAATCGTTGTACTTATATAAATATGACTCATAATTAATTTTGTTTAAGTCAAAGTCAAAATCATTTATTTTAATTAGATCAGGAAGGCACTTTAGAACGTCAACAACAAAAAAATTTAGAAGTGAAGCTAGTTGCTCATTCCAATGTGTAGATTCCTATGGAGAAGAACGAGCAAGAAACTCCATAGGTTACTCTTTTTCAATCGGGTTTACAATACAATTCTCCATTGAAGAAAAAGACAAGTAGCAAGTGTAAATTTTCTAAAACACATACATTTGGTCGTCGTTAGTGAAATGTAAACTTAAAAGCAATGCAAGTGTAAATAGAGAATCTATGACAATACACATAAAGTCTAAATTGGTACAAATTAGTTATACTTGTGTGGGAGATATTGAATATTTTTTACTGCATCCTATTTAGTCGCCGCGGCCTGGCGTGATGGCTATAGTCAGGATGTCTTGATGGCGTTTTGATTATTTTCTTTTCATATGAAATTTTTCCTGGCAATATGAAAGACGACAAACAGTTAGCGAATTAGGTCGTTCTTGAGTTTGGGCAATAACATGGTTATATGTTGATCTGACCACTCAGCTTTCTGCCAACGGGATGATTATAGCAACACATTTTTTTTTTAAATACGAGACTTCTATTCTGTATTCGCCGCTATTCCTTTATTTATTATGGTGTTAAGAAGCAAGTATTCAGCGAGACAGTTCTCACAGCATACGTTTGAAACAAATATTTATGTGTTTTGTCTGGTTCGTCAAACTTTCACAGTTTCAAATGCAGAGCCCACTGTTTAATTGCAGTACCATTTTTTTGGGATTATTCCCAACGATCTATTCAATGGTTCCTAATGAATATGTGATACCTCTGGAGCTACAGTGACCGCTTATCACCATCAGGCGGGCCATAAGACCGTACATTATGTTACTACCAATTAAAAACAATGATAAATAATTATTTTTATAGTCTACGTTTAAAAAAACCGACTTCAACTCCCCTTTCTTTAAGACGATTAGTTAATTATAATATTCTAAAACCTTTTTCTGAAAACCGCATCAAAACCAGCTCAGCCAATTGCGAGATAATCGCGCACAAACATACATACAAGTCGAACTGAGAGCGTCCTTTCATTTTTTTTATTGAAGTCGGTTAATATCTAAATAGAAATGCACTGCCAAATTTCCTTCACACTAAACGGCCCTGTTTAAAGCAATTTGCGTGGTAAACCACAAAGTGATTGTAGTGAGTGTGACAATTCGGCAAATGAGTGACAGGTTATCAAGTCTAACTGACGCGCTGCAGTCGAGAACGGTTTTAGCTTCGATATTCAGCAATGAAATTATAAATAGCCTTTACGGAGTAATATTTCAAAATAGAGAAGTTATGGCATCAATTTATTCTATAATTAGAAATAAATAACAGGATTCTTGATTTAAAATGGATATCGCACTACTGCGATGGTTGCAAAGTACTGTAGTTTGAGCTCAGTCATGTTTTAAGTGTTTAACTGTGGACTTAATTTACACATTGTTTTCATAATAACTATCGTGAGACTAACTAAATTAACTAAAAATCGCGGGTTAATCACGTGAATAAATTGAGAAAAGCTCTTCATCATGAGCAGCGTGCGCAGTCGCGGCATTGTCAATAGGCGGCGACATCGCCTTGTATATTCACGTGAGTAATCCGCGATTTTAAGTTAACTTACACATTTACTTCAGGTGTTCATGTAAACACGTAAATCTACACTGTATAATGTATATGTCAAAACGAAAAATAAAACAAGAAAATGAAAATGTAAAATCGCGTTATTTTTATTATACTACAAATTTCAGGTTGCTCAAACAATGTTAATATTTTTATATCCAACAAATACCTCTTTGAAATGATTTACAAAAATATGTTTTTACAAAATAACTTTTCATTTTAGTTTGATAACGGACACCGAGGTATTAAAAACTTTTCAACTGTATAGGTTTTGAAATGAACGTTATAGAGAATAACATTGACTTGATGTTCATATGTGGAACTATGGGCTTCGATTTCCGGATCGGGTAAATATAATGATTTGTTTTTTAAATTTTGGAAGCACGCTCAGTTTAGATCCTACTGTGTGTTTTGTTACTCTTTCACGTTAAAACGACTGAAGAGATTTTTTTAAGGGGGGAAAATCATCAAATTACTGCTCCCGCCTGGGTGAGACAGGAGGGAATGTCTTACTGACTAAAAACCACCCCGTTCCTTCTCCTGCACGTCGAGCCGGAGCCCCGGTAACCCGTTAGGTTCTTCGCGACACGGCTGAAGGGATTGGGATGAAATTTGGAACAGGGGTAGTTTATGGTCTGGATTAATAAATAGGCTACGCTTTTTATCCCGCGGGCAAAGGCGCTGGCAGAAGTAAGTAGATTATAATAGGTTACTTCTTGATATATTACATAAGATCCATCTGTGCAATGCACGTTACTGACGAATTACTCTTTATATCTTTAATATTTTAAAATTTTATATATTTACCTTTCATTAACTAAAAAGCCCGGGTTATTCACGTGGATATACTGAGACGACGACGATGAGAGTAAGCTGCGCGACATCGCCACGACCGCGCACGTTTCTTATGAAGAAGAAACCCTCTGTGGTTCGAAACTAGTAGAGCTTTTTTCAGTATATTCACGTGAGCAATCCGAGTTTTTAGTCAATTTAGTTTATCTCAATATAGTTACTATAAAAACATTTACCTTCCATATTGTATAATTATATTAGATCGTCCAGTACGTTAAATTTAAACCTACCATTTAATAATACCTACCTACCTTTATCCAAAATATAATAAACCGCCATGTTTCGATACGTTTGTTACGTAATATCTCAACTAGAACAACATAAACCGAGCTATTTTATGATACCCAGCTAAATTACAGAGATATAGTTGTAATTTGTTGATATGGTGAGCGTCATTAAGGCTATCGGCTCCAGTAATTATTCACACGATTGACTGTGGTCACGGTTGATCAAGATTGGTATGCCCCTTGTGTAACGACGGATTTGTGTTTAGTTTATGAGATAATGGTGATTATTATAATGTTGGAGTAAAATGGAAAGATAACTATTATGCTAACAAATTTGGGAGAGCCATGTTACGATACGAATGGGCCGGTTCGACCGGAGTGATACCACGGCCTCACAGAAAACTGACGTGAAGCAACGCTTGCGTTGTGTTTCGTCATTTGAATGAGGTTCCTTCTCCCAATCTCCTGAATACACGAATCCCCAACAATCCTCAAACTCTAATCCCCAAAAGGCCGGTAACGCACGTGTAACGCCTTTGGTGTTCCAGGTGTACATGAGCGACGCCGATTGCTTAACTACCTTACGGCTTATGCAATAAAAAAAATGTTAAAATGAGTAATTCAAATAACTTATGAAATATTAAATCGGTATCCATCAAAAAAATAGATTTACAAAATTAAATTTTGATGCCCTTTGGAATCTTAGTAATCGTATAAGCATGAGATCTTGGGATCAATTGCAAGACTGAAAATAGCATTTTTAGATTCACTGAATTATAAAATTTGTCATTAACTATCAAAAATAATTAAACATCTTGATAAAAATAAATATAGACATGTTATGTTACATCTTGATAAAAATAAATATAGCATAAGTTACACTCCCAACATATAAGAGAACTGTAATTTTAAATAACAGAAACGAAATGCCACAACCACGAATTACATAGGAGTAAAGAAACCAAGATAGTGCAGTTCTCGGTACGAATTTGTCAACGGGTCATACCTGCACAGAGCATTTTATAAGACACATTGGTAACAAGATACTGTCATTAAATTTTCTCGTAACAACGAATTTACATAGTGGACATGTCTGTTGGAATATTGTTCTCGACAGTAAATGGAAACTGCAGTTTTCCTTCGTAGAATTCATGAATTTCGTTTGCTAAATACCTGCAGTGTGAAATACTTTATGTCAGAGAGTAGAAGTGAGTGATATATTCGATGACAGTTTTTATCTATAAGTGAATAATTTGAGTATTTTCTCACCTTCACGTGTTCTATTGTAACATGGATAAGCAAAGAGAAGAAACAAAAAAGATTTATCCTGTGTCACTTTATATTATGTTCATAAACAATTTATGCAACATAAATACAACAGTAATTGCTAATTCTTATTATCAGAAAAAACGTATATATCAAAATTTTCGTGACACAATAATTATTGTTTTGGCTTACCTACTCGTTTACGTAACTGTTTGAAGTGGAACAATTAGTTTCAAACCATGCTAGAAGCTCATATTCATGAGCAGCATTGAGACTGAAACTAGTCGAGTTCCTCGTTATAAAAAGTAACGTAAACGAATAAGCCGACAACATAATAATTAAATCAGTAAAAAACTTCAAGTTTCTTAAAAAAATAAAACACATAGTAAAAATAAAATGCTAGAGAAAAGACGTTACTAGACCAAACTATCAGAAATCAAAGAATATAGCCAGCGATTCTAGGACATTTATCCTAGACACTGAGACCGTATGGACTCAATAAAATCGAAGCTAAAACACGACCAAGCGATGCAGTGAAACCATATAAAACTTGGGGACTCCATAAATCGACGTGGAACTTCCGAACTAATTTATTTAGGAACTCAGTGTCGAAGTAACGTTATTTTAAATAAATAAAATGTACAAAACATAAGCTGGAAGTTGCTAATACCCTTAGTTGGGAAATAAAAAGTGTGAGCAGATAGTTTGTTCAGTTAATAAGTAAAGTTAGGAAGTGCTGCTGATGGTAACTAAACGGCTGGTCGCATTTAAGTTTTGACTTTGTACACGCTAAGTACTGGACTATGTGATAGGATCGAACGATGTTCTTTTGGTATATTTTATAATATTAAGTCATATTATGATCACGAGTATGAATTTCAAAATTAAAAGATTAAAAATATAAGATCAACGTCAGATATTATGGGCCTTTTCGAAACTTTAAATCACGTTTAGTTCTATAACTAGATTAGCATTTGCAAAATATCTTCGTCCACATGATATTATGATATTTATGAATAAAATATATACTCGGAAAACGACATATATGATTTTTATTCCGGAAATCCAACGGCAACGCGAACTATGCGTTAAATTCCTGAGAGTCTCAACTCTCTATCTCTTTAACCACTGAACTTATTTGAATTAAATTCTGTACAACATTGATTTGCAAACATAGAATAGGTTTTATCACTAAAACCTGACGACGTGCACTGTATATGTGACCCCTGTGGAATTATTTAGTTTTTTAAACCTCAAAAATAAATCATTTCTCTATAAATACCTACTAGGTACTAGGTACCTAACCTAGGTAGGTATTGAATCGATTCTGATGACATTTGTTACAACTGTAGAATATAACTTGGTAAAGACTATTTCATAAGCCCAATTTCTGCCAGAAGACATTGTTTTACGGACGAAGTAGGAGCTAAAAGCTAGTTCTTTTTAAAGCCTTCGTAGGAAAACTAAGAAAATTAAAAAGAAAGTGAATGAAAACAATGATATCAACACTAAACTATTAAAAATAACCTAAAGAACATAATCTGGGTCATATATTTGCACTGGCCCGTTGTAAATTTACAAGTATGCACTCATGTGCAGTCGGGTAAATTTATTCTTTCCGTTGAGAGTGCAATTAATTTGTGTAATATTTATTGTCTAGACTTTCTATGTAAACGTTCGCACGTTATTCATCAGTTTGTCTCGCTATGTGTTAATTTATAAGTCTTTGTTTGTTATAGAGCTATTCATTTTAAGACTAGTATAGTAAGCTCTTTGTAAATGAGCTGCCATTGACGTCGTTAATACAGCTTTGTGTAAACTGTAATGTAGGATATTTTAGTATGGTATAAAGTTTTTAACGCCTTTGTTGATCAAATAGTTTTGTTCGTAAATGTGGAGTATAGTTTCCAAGTATAGTCTCGGATATGATCACATATATTGCATAGTTCAAGTGTTTTAAAGATTTTACCAGCGTTTTCAGGGATGTTTTGTCAACTTATAAGTACTTTAAGTCGGTATTGGAAGCATTCAATCTTTTTAACACACATTACCATTTGAAAAGTTCTGTCAACATCATTATTTTTATAACAAAATGTGTCATATAAAAACCCGAAAATTCGTGTTTTACAACTGCCAACAGAAAAAGGACATACACAAAGAAATCCAGGTTACATGCAAAATTAAATTCACAAACATTTTTTTGCTTGAAGCCTTCACTTATTAAATACCATTCATTCTGTTTTTATGTCTCGCATATTTGTGTTTTCATTTACCTACCTATGTTATATTTTTCGTAACAGCTAAAAATTCAATATCGCGACGAGTAATGGGTTTATGTCAGTCATTATTACAGTGGAATTACTGAACAAATCATTACCCTTTTGGGTTTTTTCTGGGCAAAGTTACAGTATTGCTGAAATAAAATAATATGGCGCGGTTACATTTGGTCATTGAACTCAAATAGGGATATGAAGTACCAATGTGGGGATGTATTAAACTTTGAATGTTTTTCTTCTATGGGTCTGTTTAAATTGGTCTAGTTTCAATTTCTTAGGTCATATTGATATTGATTTTGTAGCACTATTAGGGCATTGTAGCACTATAGTACTAGTAAAGTAGCACCTACTCCTCGCTCTCTATTATTAATCCCATTGTCAAAGAAGGTTTTAAGATTTTTATGGGATAAGCCGGTAAACGAGCCGACGGATCACCTTATGGTAAGCAATCGGCGTCACCCATGGACACCCGAAATACCAGAGGCGTTACAATTGCGTTACCGGTAACCTTACTCACACGACGAAATATAACGGAAGCGTTGTATCACGTCGGTTTTCTGTGAGACCGTAGTATCACTCCAGTTGACCCGGCCCATTCGTGCCGAATCATGGCTCTCCCGCACTTGAGTTATTACAATCCTCTTACTATTGTAGATTATATTCATTCCACCTATAAAATGTTATGCTAATAGGTCTCACACTAATACACTTCATTTTTATCAATTTCATCAACAGCCTATAAATGCCCACTGCTGAGCAAAGTCACTTCTCGCACGGAGAAGGTTAGAGCATTAATCACCACGCTTGCTCAATGCGGGTTGGCGATTTCAAACTTTTAGAAATTATAAGTCCAGGTTTCCTCACGATGTTTTTTCTTCACCGTTTGTCAGTGGTGTCTAAATAATCTTAGAAAGTACACATAACTCGGAAAAAGTCACATTGGTACTTGCCGTTGGTAGGTTTCGAACTCGCACCCTCATGCATGAGAAGTAGGCGTCTTAAAACTCCGGGCCACCACGACATTTATATACTTTTTATTCAATACACTTATATACTTTTTATTCAAAACCCTGGCGACAAATATAAGCACTAGAATAAAAAATCACACCTTTCACTACAAATTGTTCCATTTTCCTCCAGCAATTTGTAGAAAGGAGCTAACAACAGTTTTTCTACCACTTGAAAGTGACCGATCATTATTTTAATTTAAGTGCTATTTTGAATCGTTCTCGATATCGATGTTGGTCTCCGACTAATGCTGAATAAAGTGTTCAACGTTTATTTTAATTAGTGTTTTCAGTTCAATTTATCAGTGTAGTAGTATTTTTTTAAGTTTTAATTTTATAGGTTAATATGAGACAATGTACATTATATCATGACGATGTAAATTCTAACATGAATTATACCATAACTGAATTATCATAAGGAATTAGGTGCATTTAAAATATACATTTAATATATAGCTACCAAAATGAATAATGACATTTACAAACAATCCTTCAACTCGGGTAAGGATGCATATGCCATGATAATACTCAAAGTGAATTTAAATGATCTTAAGATTTCATAGACAACAAGGAACCCTTTGATTTTCTCATGTCTGTCTGTCCGGCTGTCACACCTATGTAAATCATACTTTAAAGAGAAGTTCGAATATAAAGTTCATAGTACATATGAAATGTACATTATATTATATGTGCATCACTTTGAAGATATTGTTAACTATTTTGGACTTATTGTACCTACCTACGTCAGTTTTATCAGAAGGGAACAAGACTCACTAATAAACTATTAAGAATACACTGTAAAATCTATTTTGTTTTCGTCCCGAAGTAAAATGGTTCCATCTCGGTAATACAATAGTTTTACAAAGAAATAAAATGTTAAAAACAAAAAAATAATTAGTGAAACAATGCAATAAGCAAACTTTGAAAGCGCATACGAACTCATAGTACATTATCAAAACGTCACGCCATGTATTCTCGAAGAGGTATGTACTTCTCGTCGGGTGGCACGTGCAATGAGACTAGTGCCTAGAAAATTCACGTTTATTGTTTCATGTGCGTATTTCCATGCTTTTTTTAAACTAAAAAAATTAGTTCCTTATTTTTTTTATTTTTCTTTATACATCGAAAGTACTTCTTATGGCAAGTTGATTTGCCACAGGACGAAAACGAAGTAGATTTAACGATATATTCAGTTTTTTTTAAATTGCCAGACAGTTATACTTTGGTACGAATAGGCCAGCTTGACCGAAATGATAGCACAGCCTAAAATCTGGTGTGACACAGCGGTTGTGGTGTTTCACTGTGTGAATGAGGTCAACCAATCGAATTTGTTTTTTTTTTGCTGGATAACACTGATACTAACTCAGACTACTTTGTTTTGCAATAGACTCACCTTTGCTTAACGGAATAAGATCAGGGTTCTTGTCATCAGCATTTTGAAGAGAATTCCTCTTCTGCACGATCACTTTCTGGTTCTTTATTGATGGAAGAGTTACTGCAATAAAAGAATAAAACATTTATTAGAGGTATATATTCACTTTAGCTGAAATTTCCGGTTCGCACACCAGATAAAAAGTACCTGTGATAGCAATACATAATTACATTATTATAATACTGTAATTTTTTAAATACTGTAGCGACACCAAGTGCGAGCTGTTTTTATTCGAACTAACATACATACTAACCTCACGGTTGTCCCACATGAGAATAGGCAGGGTTTATGGAATGCCAATTGCTACGATTCTTACATACCTCTTTCGGTTCATCGATAGTCATCAATCAGGCTTTTCATGTATGCTCGTTGGTTATGGTTACATTTACTTTTAATTAATAGAATTACCTAAATAACTACCTACACCTAGTAAAATATAAGAAATTCACAAGTTCTAAATGTTAAATATTTATGCTCACCTTCATAATCCCGTGATCTCTGTCGTACTTTTGTTGCGATGAGAGCAAGGCATAGAACAAAAGCGATGGTCAACGCAGCACCGAGAAACACGCCGACTGCCCAATTCACTTCCCATGCTTCTTGTGGTTCTATGAAACAATAATTGATTGTTAATAAATTAAAATATTACTACCTACTAAATAAAAAAAATCCTATGAGGCTAGTTTAAGTGTCGCGCTGACCGTCAAATCCGAGAAATATGAACTTCTTGGAACCGTGCGCGTTGATAGCTACGCCTCATTTAAAATCTAACCTAGAAGTTCATACCTCTTGGCTGTTAGGGCTGACGGTCAGCGTGCAGTGAGCGCGACTATATAACCAGCCTAAGTGGTTGAACGAGTCAATTTTAGTAAGTAACTTTTCAAGAAAATTCCATTATAAAAAATACTTCGTCTTTAACACAGATGGGGGGAAAGCCTCGATCACCTTCTAATGGTGGAAGCTGCAACTTCTGAGAGACATATTTTATCTTTCTCTTCGGGATAATAGTAATGTTATTATGTAAGATGGGTGTTTCTTTGAAAAACTAACCAATAAACCATTGCTTTCTCAAGTGTATTTTTATCAGATTTGCTGAGAACTCAATATGACTCAATTTCTTGAAACCAAATTTAGTGTTTTAGAAATCAGCACAATTCTTAAGTTTGGTTTGAGGATAATGACGGCGTAAAATTTTTGCCAATTTTTTAAGAATCGCCCAGATTATAGAACCAATATTGTTACTTACCAGTCCTCGGAGCCAATCTGACTGCAGTTTCAACAGGAAAGGCAACATGTTCTGATCGTCCTCGTGCATTAGCTGCGTACACAATCAACCTCAGCTGCCTGTTAGCTCCAAGTCTTCTTAGATTCCATAATGCACCGCCATTGCTCGCGTTGACTACTAAACCTTCCGCAGCCCATACTTCGACCACGTAGACGCATTGGAGACCACCTTCGTAACCTGTTAAAGGAATATACGTTTATATATGGAAAACTTTATTTATTTCTTGAAGTAAACAAGTGTATTATAGAGATAGAACTACACAGTTCTTTAAAAAATCCGTGGGTCGAGCCACCACAACTTATTTTTCTGGTGATTTATTTATCTTATACTATTATATAAAGCGGAAGAATTTGTTTTTTTTGTTTGTTTGTTTGAACGCGCTAATCTCCGTTACTACAAGTCTTATTTGAATAATTCTTGTTGTGTTAAATAGCGCATTTATCGAGGATGGCTATAGGCTGAGCACCAATAGAAGCTGAGCAGAGCGTGTGAAACCGCGTGGAAGTAGCTAGTTTAGTCATAAGCAGTAATCAGTTCCTCAGACATTCAGTTTGAATCAAGTTAAACCACCACTAAATCACCCAGCCCATTAATGAATCTTGGTACCAAAAAGACAATTCAAGATTTTAAGAGTAAATAAAACGTTTGATTTTCCAATGCCCAATAATTTAAGGATTGATGGAATAAAGTACCAGGGCCGCAGTACTGCGCAAGTGGTAAAACAAAGCGCTGACTAGACAAAATGTAGCAATAACATAACATGTATGGTTTAAAGTTTGCAACAATGAGGCGGTGTCAGCTTGCTCGTTCGCCAACGCGTATCCAATTTCTGTTAGCTGAATTTTACGTCAAGGCAAAGTATGCATTATAACAACGTTGAGCAACTCTGTTTAAAGTTTATATTACTATTTCACGCTGTCGTTTTATTAAATAATTTTAAATCGTAGTGTCAGTGCTTGTCGGGTGAAATGGGTTAACTACAGTGTACCAAATTAAAATACAGACTACAAATTGTGCTATAGATATGGTCGTATTGATAAAGATTCTTGAGAAGACAATGCAAGAGTCTGTAATGAAGATTAACTACATTTAACTGATTCAGTCTATTTTTTTTTCTACCTTAACCCATAATCTCTCTTAACTTCTGGCTGTCCTATATAAAATTAAGGAACAATATTGTTATCAATTTTAATATGACAAGACGATTTCCATATAAAATTACTCATTTTATGACTACTTGAAACAAGATCGATGTAATTAGCTACAGGCATTTATTTCAGAGAAGCTTCAAATTAATTCGATTTGTATTAACGAAGAAGGTCATATTTTCGACACGTGTAAGAATATGATTTCGATTACAATATCACAATGCTTGATAAAATTTTATATGTAATTAGATGCTAAAAATAGAAAAATGTAATTGAAAATGATTTTCCTCGTGTTCAACAAATGATAAGTACTCGTGATCATTCGACGATGAACGTTTTCCTTGAAAAAGTTATGATGAAGAAATTAATAACTGAATGATTGGTTCAGAGGTTGGGTCTAAAGGAGGCCTGCATAATTTTAAATAATATGTATTTGCAAACGCACGACAGGAGAAAATCCTAATATGAATCAACGATTAATTTGTTATTCTAGCAATATTATATTAATTTCGTTCTAGGCAGCGAATATGATAACAGACAATGAAAGAAAAGTAAACGCTGTATAAAATGTCTAAATACATTGTAACGACATAAAATGTGTCTCCAAAAGAGTAGGTGCCTTTGTCGATAGAGACAAATTTAATGTCTTCATAATGAGTGTCTTCAAATGGTTTGTAGGTAATAACCCCGAACCAAATTGATTCCTGTGTAACCACATAATTCAAAGTTCCCTCTTTAGAAAATTTTGTGTAAAACAGCTATAGAATATTGATACATAAAAGCAATAACAATTAGTTGGTAGTCGACTCGTTAGGTTAATGGTCTAAGTGCCTAAAGCCGGCCTCTTCGTCAACTGAGCCGTGGCATTTTGGAAGATTACCTGTAATTAGGTAATAGTTTTATTATATTTCATAGTTTGTGTTGAAGTTCGGTGTTCGCTGTCATTATTATATCGTTTATCGGTTCGTATAACAATTAGTTGTACGGTTGAACATCATTAGATGAGAGGACAGCTGAAGAACTGTTAGGTAGGAGAAAGAATTTTCGAATGCAGTCTTAGGATAAATAATGAAAATGATTTTAGTATAGTAAATATCGAAACACTGATAGGATAGGCCTGTGTGGAGCACCCTTTTATTGGGAGTTTGTATAACCAAATGTATCATTTATCAATATTATTATGATGATGATGGCTGCTATAGAAGTAATGCAAGTTCAGTGTACACCCTAGAGAACAAAGGTATGTAAATGTATGTATGTATGAAATAAAATACAACAAACCCAAATACAACACACCAAAATGTAATCAAATACCTTTAAGTCGAAAACCTTTTTGAAATGTTTTCTACGCATATAATTGTAGCAAGAATGTAACTAAACCAGTATAAAGGTAGACTCTAGTTTACTTAATTCGATTTCACGTAAATTGTTTTAGCTTGTATTCAATTACAAGTAACAACAAACCCAGATTACGGCTTAATTAAATTTCAACGTCACTTATTCGTATTTTATGAATACTCAACGAGTGTACTGAACTGAATCCATCTTAACCTTTATCTGAATTTAATCTTATGAATAACTTTCTTGATTTTCGAGTAACAAATTCAATGTTGTGCTCTCTAGTAAATAACATAAATTCAACCCAGATTTTATTCTGAAAAAAAAGGGGAAAAGTGTTCATTACACATTCAACATTGGAGACATTGCGAGCGTGTTGCTAACCGAGTCGAAATTCAGTTTTTTAAAGGATAAGCCAGTAAACGATCAGACAGATCACCTGATGGTAAGCAATCAGCGTCGCCCATGGACATCTAGAACACCAGAGGAATTACAAATGCATTACTGGCCTTTTGGAGATTAGGAATTCGGAGATCTAGTCAACCTCACTTACACGATGAAACACAACGCAAGCGTTGTTTCACGTCGGTATTTTGTGAGGCCGTGGTACTCCAGTGGAGCCGGCCTATTCGTGCCGAAACATGGCTCTCCCACACATTCCCACAAATTCAGTTTTAACTGTGTTCGTAAAATCAAAAGAAAGAAACTATACTTTATAGGTGTACTATACTTTATATCTATATACATAACTATAAACGATATTATCACTTCAAATTTACTATAATTCATATCATTTTACAAACCTGCCAATAAGTTGTGCCGCCAATATCAACACATTCTCAAGCTTGATACGAAATCGATTACTAAGATTACCTTAACATTACAATTTATCAGTTTAATTGCTCTCGGCAAATTACGAATTAATCACATGAAATTACTTTAAGGATTATCTTTAGTTGTAGGAAGTACTTGTGTGTGTAACTATACATATAAGCATATACATCCACGTGTTTATTTGCTTACTGACTCATATATTACATTAGTGAAAGTATGTTTTAGTAACGTTTATGGGTGTAATTACTTATAATAGTTTTATGAGATCGCTTTTCTATTAATGTGTCATCACGTAAAGCATTATTACATGGGATGCATAACATAAAACGTGAAAATTGGGTGTTTTATTGTATTATTGGGGATAAAAAGGCGTGATGTTATGTTATTAATTGTAGTGGTTTCTATATATTCAATTGTCTATGATTATAATGGTGTCATAATTGTTTTTTGATTTGATTTCTTTTAGCTGTCAACTGGCACTGGTCAGACTGTATTAGATTTGTTGTTGACAGACTGACATTTTTTTAATGTTTCAATATTTTGTTTTAACGTTCAAAAGTGAACTCCTTGTCTAATTGAAATAAATGATTTTGATGTTGACTTTAGTTATTCCATCAACATCCTTCCAAAATTCTGCACAAGTGACATTATCAAACAAGGAATACATAGGTTAATGTAAAAATTGCAAAAAACTTTTAACTTTTCTCAATACTTATACTTCTATCCGTTTGACCAACAACACAGGTCCATAAGTACAATACACAAAAATATATAAATATACATAAAACCCAAAATTTCTAAGAACAAAGGCAAAAACAAGTATTTCTATTGTTTAGTCAAAAAATAAGGAAACGTGTGAAAACCTTAGGTAAATAAAAGGGCACAATTTCAAAGGCATTGTCTTAAGCCAAAACCGCACGGGATACCAGAAATATTTTACGGGAATTTATGCAAATATTCCCTTTGAACAGTTACAATGGAGTTACGATAGTCCGTTTGTCATTTATCACCGGCTAACTCCGCCTCATTTGTGTAGAAGACTGCGAGGTAGAGTAAAATGTTGCCCACTGGGTTAGGTTCATTAAATATTAGAATTTAAATGGGTGTTTAAATTAGTTCATACAACTGATATTTAATAAAAATGACTGCGGAGAATGAAATTACTAGTAATTTTCATTCTAGTTTTTAAGGAGGCATCAAAGCACCTGTGATGTATCTGGTGTAAATGTTTATTTTGTCGTTATTTCTTAAGTAATTTATAAAACTGTAGTGTAAAAAATTGTGCAATATGAATCAAACTATTGGTTTCTTGTGATGGCAGCGAAATTCCAAAAATGTTTCAGTATTAGGATCAATAGAACTAAAATAACTGACGAAAATTTCATTTTGTTTGAAGCCCTCTATTTACATAATTATCCTTAATTTTTTGCAACTTGTACCTCAACATATCCAAGTACACATGTGTGGAATAACGTGTTTAAATTATTTTAATACTTATAATGAACAATAAACAGCATACTTTATTCCAAACACTTAGGTCAACTTTAATGCACCAATTTTCTACTAGTTATGTTATTACGTAAGCCCCGTAAGTGGCCATATAACAACTATACTGCTATTTTATAGGCACAAATTCGCACTTATTGTTTTTATTATAACATGGCGCTCCTTAGGTACTTATAAAAAGGAAATTGTTGTCATTTGACCCAACTTAGGTATAGTTTTAATGTACATTATTACGGACTGCTAATGTTGATGTAGGTATTTCATTTTTATTTTGGCATTTACCTACTTCTATACTATATCTGTAATATCCATCACTATGATTCGGATCTACAGTTATAATATAATAGTAATTTTTGTCAATCAACTTTAGATCACATCGAAATAATTCTATTTGCAGTTAGTCTACGGGGGTGTACGTCAATTCTACATTCCAGTTTTGGTCTATTTCAGGTACCTGACATAACCTTGTTTAGAAACTATGTGACCATACACAAAGGAGTGACAAAAATGGGGGCATTGAAAGTTGAAACCTATTCTACCAAACTGTGTGCTTTTCCGTAGTTGCTTTATTTCGTATCAAATTCAATACGGGGCAAAATTGTGAATAGATTGATGTGGATAAAGATGAAGTTTCAATTTTTTTCGTATAGGTACGGTGATTTTATATCACGTCAGAATTCAAACATTTTTACTTGGAACAAAATATACATAATAAATTTTAAGGCAAGGATAAGTCATGATAATGAGAAATATCATTAAAAATGTTAGCGCTAGTTTTATGGTATTACTCATCATCGATAGCCTTTTCTCGTCCATTGCATGACATAAGTCTCTGCAATGGCACGTCACTGAGCTCGATCTTCAGCTCTACGCATCCAACCACTACTAGCCATCTTGCGGATATCATCACTCCACCTAGCTGGAGGGCGCCCTACACTACGTTTGCCTATACTATTACTTACAAAAAATTAAAATATTTGTCAATGTTAGCCAGTTTTATACCCAAAATACATACTAAAACAATAATATACAGACACCGTAAATTCTCAGTACATACTAAAGAGTTAGAGAAAATATTCTAAGAAAGTAGAAAGAAGCCAGTTCTTGAAGTAGGACTCCCATACCTATTACCGCTGCCAAGTACCACCGGGTACAAGTTTGAAGAGTGCAGATGCCGTCCAATTACGGGACCATATATTATAAGTCTTTTCGAACTTTGTTTATATTTCAATGGGCAAGGCAATGTTTAAAAATAACATCAATGTTTTTATCGACTGTTTCTTCGTCAAGCGTATGATCGTATGATCAGCTAAATGAAATTCTAGGTATCTTTTAAAATAATTTATCTATTTTAACAAGTAGTGATTTGAGTATGGTCCTTAACAATAAACTTATTCATAAATGAGATTTTTTTATAATAATACGTAGTGAAAGTAGGAGGACAAGGTATAAAGGAGTCCCTCTTATCTAAATATCGGTAAACAAGAACTTTATAATATTCACAGATGCACTTCTTATCATTGTCTGATATTGAAGAGAACTTTTAAATAATTTGATTAAGATAAAGACTCCTCTCCTCAAAGTAATCTCATAACTAATTACAGAATAATTTTTAAGAATAACAATTTTATTCAGATTAAAAATAAAAAATATTTTCTAAAAAAAGTAACATTGGAAGAACATCTTGAAATACAAAAAACGAAAAGAGAGGTTTTCAAATAAGACTATTAAAACCTTGTTACCGCTAACGCGCAATGAATCGTTCGTCTAAAATCCATCTAATGGCACTGTAAATAAAGTTTTATTTGCAGTAAGCCGTTTCAGATCCCTGAATGAAGGCAAAAGTTACGTAAACATACCCTTTTGTTTGAAAACTTCTTAGCGGATCTGTTGAATCTGAAGCTAAATATCTTGGCGTTTTTTCTTCTGTTTTATATGAAACTCTGAATTTTATTTTCTTCTTATTTGAAAAACTAAGTAGCACTTAAAGTGGAATTTATTACTTGTCTTTATTTACTCCTTTTCTTTGTAATTGTAATGAGAAAGAATGAATGAATGAAGGATTATTTTGTAGATGCTTATTAAACTTATGTTACATTTTTTATTATGTTTTATTTAATTCTGGTGCTAGTAGCATTTCTACTATAAAATGCAATGAATAAGTTTTCTTTGTAAGTTGACTACTGTATTCTAAAGATGCTTACGTACTAATTATTTCTCTTAAAGAAACGATGGTTTGCGCTAAACAGATGAATAAAATGCTGACTTCCAGTAGCTCAGAATGATAATAAAAATCTAACCTTAAACAAGCGATATTTTTAGAAACCTTATCGGTCTAGTGATCTCGTAATAATATCAAGAAGCATCATCAATTCAACCCTTAAATTAAAATTGTATTAAAAAATAAATTCCTCTTACACACCACCCACCAAACGTGTAGGTACGCCTACGTAACAGCAATTCATATCATGCACATTACTCTCTTAAAATATCTATACGAAGCGAAACCAATCGCTCACAGCGCCTATTTTAATAAAAATGTAAGTGAACTCGAGGAAGCTGCTTCAGTAATACCGTAAATCCGATCGGAAATCATATCCCTCATCGACTGATCTCTATCGGCCCCGAGAGGTTTTACAGCGAGATAAAGAGCGAGAACAGACTTGCTCCTACGCATATATTATGAGTATGAGCCACCTGAGGGCTTAGTTATGTTTTAACGTTATATTTTTAGTATATTTAGTATTCCAACCTGAAATCGATCGAGTGAAAAATGTATTATTAGAGAAAGGTGTGGATTCAAAGTTGATGTAGTGACAAGGATTAAATAAGGAAATGTTACGCTGGTTTGGACATGTAGAAAGGAAGATTGAAAGTAGAGTAAAGAAAGAAGTATACAGAGCGAATATGTATGGGGCCGTCGGTAGGGGGCGCCCTAAGCGGACATATACTGACCAAATTGGCGATATATTAAAGAAGGGCCAAATTAAAAGTACCCTTAACCGACGAGCATGCATGAAAAGATTGATGACTGTTGATGAAGCGAAAGAGGTATGTATATTCCATAGTCTCTGCCTACCCCCATGGGAGACAGGCGTGAAGTTATGTACGTATGTGTCTAAATTAAAAAAAAATAACCTGCAGATTTAGTTTATTTAAGATATCACTATGACTTGATCGCTAAGCCATTTCCTTGTCAGCGATCTTTTTACTTAAAAATCTCAAGGCGTATTACAGCTATACTAATGCAGTAATAAGTCACAATTTCATGCTGGCAGCGGTTAGAGGGCGTTACACGCTGGTCGAACTAGCCCATTCAAATTATTTGTAGCAAATATCTTTCTATCGACAAAAATACAAATTAAAATGACTTTTTCTTATGACTTACCCGACCCAAAAAATTCAGAAATCGGTAACACGTTAAACGCCATGGGGGTCACCGGTGACCGGTGTTAGCGGAGGATTTACCTTCAACAGTTTTTATTGGCAGTCAAAGTCTTATTCATCAATTGGGACTTGTGCCCAGTCGACCAGTCAAACAGTCAAAGCCAGACATATAATGTAATCAAATGCCAAGCTCTGTGTCATGCATGATTCATGCTTTGTCTACTGTATTAGCAAGTACCTAGTCGCCTAGTTATTCAGACATGATTAAAGTCAAAACCAGGTAGCTGGTATTATATTCCATAATGTTGGAAACTATTGGGATTTACGTGACGAGAATAAGTACGAGTTTGTTCACTTGTTTTCGTACAATCATTATTTGTACTACTTCATTTTTGCCTCATTATTATATTGTTAGATAACATAACATAACATTACGCCTTTTATCCTCGAAGGAGTAGGCAGAGGTGCACATTATGCCACTGTACAATGTAACACCCACTTTTCACTATAATGTTATGAGTCCCATGTAATAGGGGGTTTACCTATTGCCATATACCGGACACAATTCCAGATTCCATGCTACTACTGATTTTTTTTAAAAACCTAGTAATACTTTGCCTGACCCGGGAATCGAACCCAAGACCCCTTGCCCAGCAGTCGCATTTGCGACCACTCGGCCAACTAGGCAGTCTATATTGTTACATTTTGTTTTTAAAAATAATACCATTACTATCAACAACAAGGACGATGAAATATAGGCTTAATTAATGTCACTTAGAAATGATTGAAGCAACAAAATATCAGTAGTGTATTGACGTGTGCGTGTACTTGCAACACCGTAATGTATGAAGTGTAATGACGGGCCTTGTCACGTGACAGATGTCCTTCGTGTCAATGTGTGTGTATTCTGCGTGTATGTCGACAGTAGCTAGATGCCACAGTCGTTATTCCAATAGACTATGTCCGCCTTTTTTTCAACGTCCTTCATCGACACAGTATTCTTTAAGATTTTCAAGTAATATAATTTCAAAGTAGGTTAATTACACACAGCAATTTATTACAATTAAACTATACAGATACGGATAACCCTGAAAATTCGTAAATGTTTAACACATTATACGCTTGAAATGACAAAATTGTTTCATTAGAGGGCCGACCGACAGATTGATACTCTATTTTTTTTTTATTTTTGTATTTCAAAAGTGTCTTGAAGGTCTAAAAATAGATGATTTTGACTTCTAACATTTAAAAACCATCTCCATCATGACTTACTGGACTACTAAACTATAAACAAATTCAATCAAAACACTACACATACCTGGTAAACACATAAGATCCAGCGAATCATCAGTCAGGTTGTACACAGTACAATTGGTGGGCGGATCCGGCCTCGTCGCCGGCAGCAGTGTGTAAACACACGGCGTCACTTGCTGTCCAGCCAAGTTCGTTGCTCGACACGATAACGTCCCGTAGTCGACATCGGACACCGGTGTATACGTCAGTAGAGACTTGCCCTCCTTTCCTTCTACTGTGAACCGATCCTGTGGATGTAATTGGTGCTTTTAGTACATATATTGGTTGCTGGTATTGTTTTCGGTGTAAGCGCTAGTTTTCTATTTCATTGATTCTAAATAGTTTGAGCTAACTTGTTGGACCGGTCATAAGAGCCGCTGTTGAGCGCAGGATATTAGTTGGGTTAATCTCATGTCGTACAAAAGTTGCATAATAAAGACGTGTTTTGGTTCTTCAAGGTATTGAAAACTGTAAAGTAACTGTGTGCCGACGTGAAGCAACGCTTGCGTTGTGTTTCGTCGTGTGAGTGAGGTTACCGGAGGCCCAATTACCCTCCCCCAATCTCGCAATCCCTGAATCCCCAACAATCCTCCTTATTCCCAAAAGGCAGGTAACGCACCTACAAAGGTGGTCATTGACGACGCCGATTGCTTACCATCAGGTGATCCGTCTGCTCGATTACCGGCTTATGCAATAAAAAAAATTGTATTGGTCCTAAACTCTATAATGATTGGAGTAATGTCATGACTAAATTCTACAGCGTATTTTTAGAAAACGTCTAACCTAGCAGAAATTTTAACGTTTGAAGATAACTAAGATCAAAAGCACTGGGACAATGGTCCTATAGTTATCCTATCATCCGTCACTTGGCCCCTATCTCACGTCAGAAGCTATTCACATCCGAACTGAATTTGATTACAGACTAAAGCGAGCCCTGCAGTATTAATTGGTTACGTACTCAAAAGAGGAAACGTGGTCACGAATTAATACGATAACCCCTTTCTGAGTACGTAGTGGACTATTTTAGTTCTTGATCTTTTTGTAGTAGGTTCTGTAAGGAATTGATATGACATGTATCGCCTTTTATTCTTCCAATACTATTTAATGTAACAATAAATTTTTGCATTAGTAATATGATTATGCAAAAACTGTTCAAACCTACAACTGTCTACGATTGCTTCGTTGGCTGAGTGGTCGCAAGTGCGACTGCCGGGCAAGGGGTCAAGTAAAGTTACTACTTTTTTTTATTCTCAGTAGAAGCACAGAGCCTGAAATTGTGCCCGGTATATGCCAATGGGCTCACCCCTTATTACATGGGACTCATAACATAAATAGTTAAAAGTAAGAGTAACATTGTACAGTGGCATTAAGTGCCATGATGTGCACCTCTGCCTACCCCTTCGAAGATAAAAAACGTGATGTTATGTTATGTTATTCAAACCTCCGGACTACCAATGAATTTCGAAAATCTGAACACCCAACAATACAATATGTCTGAAAGCCAAACCTTACAAATCTTAGCTTAGTACTCTGAAGCGTAAACGCTATATTTGTCTATACAGTTTGTGATACAGGTTATCGACCCCAAAATCTTTCAAGTATATTTTCTAACACGCATAACGTATCCACACAAAATGGCACCTGTTAGTTGTCCCCATTCAATTTTAATGCCATCCGGTAACTCCCACAAATCGCTTGTGCTTCCAAATCTATTGTACCATAAATCATAGCAAAGGGGCTATCATTATCTTTTATTATAACATATTAAATGTTTCCTACGAATGTGGTTTTGGCTGTAAATACACTATTTCTTGGCCTCCCGTTTGTGTCAAGAGGCAGTGAAGAGATTTATGTATAAGGAAGATGGGTTGTGTCATGCAGCATATTGGTACTTGTAGGCGATAGTTGGATTTGTGAACATATTTTTGGGTAGCAGTTCGGTATAAGAATGACGGTTGTAGGAAAAGTAAATCAGATTAGCATTTTTCTGCTATGGTGAGTTTAATAGGTGATGAGTAGACTCATGTTGTGGTATATTCCAAATTTTAGTCATTTAGATTATTATCACTTTTAGATTTTATAGAGATTTTTTGAATGAACCTATACTATTGGAACAAGACAAATAAAATAATGAATGGGTTTACTTACAGGATCAACTTTGATGGAACCCGCCGAGTTGTTGAGGGTCCACTCGAAGGTATCTGGTGGTGGAAAGGCATCGACTTCACACGTGACTGTTGTAGGTTCTTGTAAAGCTGCTCCTATTATCTTCATCTCTTTTCTTTGGCATAATGGTCTATCTGTGTAACAGAGATGGAAAATATTTAGACTAAATCCATAATGATACATCGCACATTGGGATGTGCGACTTTGTTTGGACAAAGTCTAAGTACCAATTTTGATTAATCCAATAAACAGGTACTTTTAAACACGTCAAATTAAAAATGTTCGGTCAATCCGTTTATAACTGAAGTCAGGAACTCAGTGCAAACTGTGGATTCTTTAGGAAACGTTATTGTGGCTGGTTTAGGTTCAGTTTAAATACGCACAGACTATCTCTAAAACAAAGTCGCGGAGAACCTAACGGGTAACCGGGGCTCCGGCTCGACGTGCAGGAGAAAGAACGCAGTGGTTTTTAGTCAGTAAGAGTCTGACACTCCCTTCCGCCTCACCCAGGCGGGAGCAGTAATTCGATGATTTTCCCCCCTTAAAAAAATCTCTAAAACAAAATCGAATTACCTACCCTACGTACAGTATCAAATGCAGTTAGCACAGAACCTCAGTGTGACGACAAACACACAGTACATTATACTGTCGAGGATTGTTGAAAAACAAAACGAAATTCAATCAATCAATCAATCAATCAGCATGTCAATTCAACGTAACACTTTAAACGAATTTTCTTGCCTTCGCTACAAATTTTAACATCGTATCTGAATATCACCAAATTATATGAACGAAAATGCAAATCGATCTTCTGTCATGCATTCAGAATTCTCCTTATTTTTAATTTATTACTGCCCTTGTCCGTCTACCGGCTGAAAATGCATTCATTGGAAAATTCAGAGAAAATTCGAATAGGTACACATTAAAATCTTATATTAAAATTACTATTGATTTCCACAGAAGATAATGTATTACTTTATCCATATTGACAAGGCTTTTGTTTTTTGTTTCATCTCTGTTTCCTAGGCTTACAATATATCGATACTTTAATTCCATTTTGACAATGAAATTGGAAAAAAATTATCAATATATCAATTCAATTCAGGTATCAGTATCAATGTATTGTACTTTAAGTAACATTGTTACTTACGTGAAATTTATGTGGGTATTGAGCGTTAAAGACAGGACAATGAAATAATATATCGCTCGTAAATTATTTTCGTTTGTGGAATGTAATTTATTGATTACATCACGTAAAACAATGAGAATGACGACTGCGAAATAAAATTGGTACTTTATTTTTATACTCATAAAGTGTTGGTTTGCTTGAGTAATTACAGTACATGACTATCGAATATGAATCTGGTTCTTGAGTACCAATAAAACGTTAAAGCTATTTCTCTTTGTTTCACTAAGAAAATGCAGTTATAACTCAGAACCCTTACAAACGTATCCCAAACCGAAATAGCATATGGCACCAACTTTACATAGGACAAAACCCATAAAACTTTTCGGAAAACACAAAAGAATAACAAGAACACCATAGCAAATCATATAAAACACCACCAACCAAATAAAACAACCTTTAAAACTTTATTAATATAAACAAACACATTTTTACGACACATTCCCTTACGAATACTGCGCACAAAATGGCGGAACTACATACCTATGGATATAACAATATACTTTTAAACAATAGAAAATCGACTGATGGGCGTCGTAACGATAAAAGGTTTTACGTTTTCCCTAGTGAGAGACAAAAGTAAAAGGAATGAAAATAAAGTAAACAACCTCATGAAATAGCTCGAAAGAGACTTGGAATGAATATTGCGTGTGATGGGAATGACTTGCAAGGAATTTACGCGAATGTGGTCACAGTGTAAAATAGAAACAGTATGTTGACGATTTTATAAATACTGTATTTTCCGTGAGTTTTTATAGACTTACCAAGTAAATAAGTAACTATCGTCCAGATTATAACAATAGAATACATACGAAAGAACCTTTTTAAGCATTCAAGTTATATTTAATTTCTTTGTATTAAGGGTAAATGAAGTGGCGAACGAGAGTTGTGTTTGTCAATCGATAGGAAATGTCACTGCAACCAGAAATGGAAAAAAATAAATTATATTTCTCAAATAAGGCATTGCACTTAGGGCCGATTTTTCATCATGGGTTACTTCCTATTTGTAGACTAAACTTGAAATGTGACTGTTATGAGTATGGAAGAAATGCTAAATATTTATTCCTTTTATAAAATCAAACTGAACATTGAAATATCGACCTTAAGTAACTTATAAGTCGAACCTTTTGTCCTCTTGAAACGTTGTCTAATTCTAAGCTGTGGCCACCATAGGTTGGTACAATAATAGCACAGTAATAAACAGTGTGTAAACATTTTCTTGTCATTGGGGGAGGCCTATGTTCAGCAGTGGACGTCCTGTGGCTGATATGATGATGATGAAACATTTTCTAGTTGACCAAATAATACCTAATGTTAGGAAGTGGTTCTTAGTACACCAAGGTCTATGGAACCTATAATCATAAACGTAATGGCTATGTTCATTTTCTCTAAAGAAAATAAAGTAATTTGAACTACTTTTATTTTACTTATTTATATTTTATGGCATAGGCAAATATTGTCTAATACTTATAATATACATAGGTTGGTAAGCAAGCAGATGAATCATCTGATAGTAAGTATTAAGTGCTACAGACACCCGCAACACCAATGAAGTTACAAATGCATAATAGACCCTGTGCGAAAGTGGAGGGGTCGGGCCAAGTACTTGTACACCAATAGCTAAGCTGCATATAAAGTCACGATATTCGTCGGTAGGCGACGCGCAAGAAATACCTCTGATGTTGCATAATACGGTAAGTGCTTTCTAGCACGCGGGTCGTAAGTTTCTTTACCGCTTCTAATTATGTCGGTTTATGACTTAGTGACCAAAACTAATGCATTCACGACCTTGACTGCACGGTTGGTGCGGTGGCTGAGCGACAGGCTGCCGTGCAACGTGTCGCGGGTTCGATTCCCGTACGGAACTTTGTGTGATCCACAAATTGTTGTTTCGGGTCTGGGTGTCACTGTGTACGTAAACTTGTATGTTTGTAAATGCACCCACGATACAGGAGAAAATCCTAATGTGGGGTAACGTTTAAGAAAATAAAAAATAAAATTCATAGACTCGTGTACCATTCAGAAGACCTTATTGACGTTTCAGAAGCGTTAAACAATACAACAATAATAATCAAAGCAAGCCATGCGTAGTTTTGGATAAAATTTTTGTCGTCAAACTTAATATGGATTTATTAAAACTTTTGTTCAAACGTTGTCAAGTTCAACGCAAACAGGAGAGTTAATAAAAGGTACGCTAAAATAGATGTAGAACGTATCTACGTATATACGATATAAAACGTATCCACACTATCCTTTTCCCGTCAATAGAATTAATTTAGCAACTTAATGACTAAACATAAAACCACCTGCCAACGTGGGTTAAATTCTAAAATGATGGAAATTAAAACCGTACAGCATTACCCTCTATCCATCAGTTTCAAGCACCGCCTACCCATTTACCCGGTTGTTTTTACATCCCGGTATTCCCTAACGAAGCTGTAATAAAATATACTTAACCCAGTTTCTTCAACGCCCCACGTAGACTAATATTTACAGTAAAAATACTATGGCACTTAGGATCATCTAAATTTGAGATTAAACTATTTGGAAATATTTTTACGTAGATATTGTGATGTTTACGTTTAGTATGTCTTGGTTGAAGAGAATGTTTAGCATAAAATATTACACAGCCTGTTTCTCAACGAAATGTAAATGAGATATGAAATGTCATGATCTAACATTTACACGTTTTTGTCTCTTTTTCTACATTTATTAATCTTGATGTAGTTAGTACCAAATTATTCTACCATCTCTAATTCCACGCCGCGGAGGACTTAACGGTTTGCCGGGGCAGTCGAGAAGTGCAGGAGTAGGAACGGGTTGGTTTTTAATCAGTAAGAGTCTGACACTCCCTCCCGCCTCACCCAGGCGGGAGAAGACTTTCGATGATTTCCCCCCTTAAAAAATGAGCTCTAATTCCACACTAAGTATCATGTAGTTTAAGGTAGCAGATTCTCTATTTTAAGACACTGTGCATACTTATTTCTTAAAATGACTATGTTTTTTCTTAAAATGACTATGTCCTTAAGTAGTTAAAGAAGATTTTTAAGAATATATTAGTATCTAGTCCTTTGTAGAATAGCAACATTGCCGTTCAAATTGCGTGTAATATATTTATTTTTTAAACTACATCATTACATTCCTGTCACATCCAAAATATAAACACATTACTCCAAAAAGCGTCTTATCTAGCTAATTATACAGGAGGTGTATACTAGATTTACTTACAAACAACTTGCATATGCAAATATGGCGACTTGCCGTCCCCTTCGACGTTGGAAGCGGTACACGTATAGCGCCCTGCTTGAAGTCTGGACACGTTCCGTAGTGCCAGGTTGGTGTTTCCCGTCAGTATAACACCGTTCGCAGGATTGTGTTGCAGTAGAACACCCTGTGGACAATTTATTGCACTTTATTTTTGGAATAGTATTGTGTAAACATATTTGGAATGATAATTCTTTGGTTACCTATATATCGCCTCTTTGCGAGAATACTGTAACATCTCAAAAAAGGCAATTTTACAGGACGCGTATTTTAAACTTTCGAAATGTTATAAAATCTAAAATAATAGAGCTAAAGCAACAAAACCTTCTAGTGATTTATAATTTAACTATTAATTCATCTAAAACTATAGTAATTGTTGCGCTATTGGCTATTTTTCGGTATAAATTAACAGGATTAAAAAAAAAGGGATATTTTGTCACACTATTACTGAAAAAGTTTTCAAGGATCGATGTGACATATGAACTTGTCACATTGTTGATAATATATTTTTTTGTGTTGTGTTAGGTTATATGATAAAAACACATTTTAGAAATAAAAATGTTTATTAAATCAATGAAAAATTTGTAGGAAAAGAAAATCAAGCATAAACATTAGTCATTATAACGTAGGTAGGATATACAGTTACCTACTTAAATACAGTAATTCAACAGTTAACAATCAACAAAGTTAACAAAATGAAACTATAGCTACCTATCAGTTCTTAATTAAAAGTATACTGTTATTACTAAATTTGTTATTATTATTTTAGATCTAGCTAACCAATCAGTCTCTTCGTAACATTAGTCTTTGTAAATAATCACTAGGTTTATTCTAAACCTACTTTAGGTGGACCATAATCTATATTTTAACTAAAACAAAACCATCTCAATAAGAATAATAATACATACTAAAAATATTTTTATTCATATTGAGATAGGTTTTAAAAATAAGTATCTAAAATTATAAGTATTATATACTTGCAAAATGTATTAAAAACTTGAGTATTTATCATTAAGTACTATAAAATTACGACTTAGGAACTTTTCATTATAAAATATCACATAGGTATTGTACTTAAAGGAACCGACGTTTCACTTATCTCACATAAAGTAATAAAAAATAATTGTTATAAAAATTACAAAAATAGTATAAAAAATAAAATAAAAACATTCTTAGAGCGATTCGTAAAAGCTCCTATGAACTCCGGGAATTAATTTCTTATTAATCAAATCCATTAGGTCCGATTTTTTTCGTTCAGCTAACCCGGGTTTATTATTATAGAGATTTTTTATTTCTATATTGTTGTTTCTCTTTTTTCTCAAAACGACGGCTTTTTTAAAGTCCGTTTCAGCATAAGAATTTTTATAAAATATAGCATTTGTATCATCTTTACTAACTCTTATTACTCTTACTTCTGATAGTTTAACTACATGGTTATCTTCATCTTTTGTTAAGTTAAAATTAATTTGATTACACACACTTTTCCAATCATAAAAATCTTCGAAACACATTTCATTGACGTGTATTGGCTCACTCTTTACTTTAGTTTTTACTTTAGTTGGGGTGATGTTGGAAGTGGTTGGCTCTATTGGCATAGTGGTATCATTCCCAACTACGAGCGAATTATTCTCTGTTGCGACCAGATCTATCTGATTTGTATGGTTAACTATTATGTCTCGATTTTCTGCTGAATTACTTACCAATAACATGTCAACTTGCTCTATGGTGTCAACTGAAGCAATATTATTATTTAAATTAAACAAGTCTTGGTCTTTTGAGAAGTTGTAGTTAGTGCTGGCACCTTCTTCTTCAGAGTCTGAACTATGTATATTATTAATTTTTGACTTCTCCTCTTGATAATTGGGATCCTTTACGGAATCATCACTATCTGGGGAAAAGTTAAAAGAAAATTAGTCCCAAATAATTACGTTGCAAACGTTCGGCATCCGAAATGAACAGAATTGAACACAAATTATTACATAAATTGAATAAGTGCATTTATTAAGAAATAGTAGTCTCTGCCTACCCCAATGGGAAAAAGGCGTGACAATAATAATGTATGTATGTATTAAGAAATATAATAAATGCATTTATATAAAAACTTACTACCTTCATAAAAAGATGGTCCACTGCTTGAGGAGGAACTCGAAGAAGAACTCGAAGAGCTACTTGAAGAGCTACCGGTACTACTAGTTGACTCACGTCGACGATGTTTTGAGTCATCGTTACTTTTGTCTAAAAGAAATATAAATAATAATAACTTAAACAATAGAAAAACTTTATGAAACGTAAGTAAAATCGAGGTGTTTACATAATTATCTGTAGAAAACATACTAAGACTCCTTATAATGTTGCTCAATTTGTTTCTTCTTCTCAGCCGATGGACGTCCACTGCTGGGCATAGGCCTCATGTATGGATTTCCAATATTGGAAATCCAATTTGTTTAAAATCTATGAAAATGTAAGCACCTAAGTTCGTTTCGTATTAATAGGTACTCATTTTAAATAACTACATGACAACAGGCTCGCCCCTTGTTACATGGGACCGAACATAGGTGGCATTTAGTCTTTACAAAAATATTCTTTAAAAACCAAAATTATTAAACGCAATGATTCCAGAAGGTAACTTCTGGAATCATTGCGTTTATATTAGAGTCATCAACTTCCTCGGCTTGGATACTGGAACTATCATTTACGTTACTATCAACTACGTTTTGCATAGTTGCTAATTGTACTAATTTTCTGGACCGCGATCCCATCTGAAAAAATAAATATTTATAATTCATTTGTTTTAGTATTTACAACGTGACATAACGATTTAATTTACAAAAAAACTTATAATTTATCTAGAAAAAAGTAACATTACAAAATACTCCGAATCCATTTTATGGTTTGTAAAATATTTCATTGTCAACAACGCGTCATCTTATGATGTTACAAAACAAAAACGATATCTTTTCAACGAAAACGTGATATCAAAAGTAATAACAAGTTAAAATTGCATACTATTTTCAACAAAACTGTGTCAATTCAACATATCACATTACTTAATAAAAAAATATCAAAGAGTTCAAACTTACCTTAGCAATCGTAATGTGGTATCTTCGTGATGTCACGTTTTTGCACAAATACGAGAGCGCCCTTCCCTCCAAATGGCACGCGCCGACTGATGGGACACGTTGTCGAAACAAATCACGAGGCAGAAAGAGACAGCGCGACAACACAAAATATTGCAGTTGTCTTGTCTCTTTCGCTCATAGATGCACCGTTATTGTCAAAAAAATACCTCGTTTTTATCGAAAATAAAGTTCAATACGGCGGTTTTGATTATGGAATAAAAAAAAAATTGATTTTTCTGAAATATCACAGTATTCTTGCAAAGAGGCGATATGTCAAATGTAGAAATTATATTATCTAAGTGACAATATTTCTGGTAATCGTAGTTTTTGATGAAGTATGAAAATCGTATTATAAATCGATAGACGAAATTAGTCGACTGGTTTCAAGTCAAACCAGTGGCCCATAAAAGTCAGCCGTACAACTTATTAATTTTACGTATTAACCTTTTTTATTTACTTTTGTCAAATAAATCCATTAACCATATATGCAGACATCCGATAACTGCAGTATTGGTAAACGGATGTTAAAGTAATGAAATGCAATGGCTTGTCTCTTTTTAGCACAAAACATGTAAACATACTCGGCCAATGCCGCAAAATAAAGGTGAAGCTCGCAGATTTCCAATCAGTATAAAATCTGGATATTACGAAAATACGATATACCGTTTTTTGGACATCGTTTCACGGTTCAATGCATTATTTTCTGTCCCGTAATTGATAGTCACTAAAAAATTCACATTCGAATATTTGGAGATGCAAGTGCCACTAGATGGAGTCATTGTTACGGATTAAAAGTTGGTTTAATTGGATATTGATACACCTTTGTTAGTATTTATCCTAGCAACCATGGTATTTAAATAAATAGACGGTTATATTCCGGAATACTTCAAGGGACAACACAGGATCGAGGTCTGTTCTAAAGTTACCATCTCTGAGTAAAAAAATTGGTATATCAAAACTTATCGATAGGTCCAATCCGTGATCGGTACATGTTTTCAAATAATTATCATTAATTTTATAATCACACCTTTTATACTTTATGGGTTCAGCGATATATAATATCAAAACCGTATCAAGTTCTCAAAAGGAACTGATTTTTAATATATTTCTTTTGAAGTACAAACATAATCACCATCAACATAATTATGCGACCAAAAATCAGTAAATTAATATTCCCTCTCATAAAACATAACTCTGTAATGTTAACAAATACTTAAGTAGGTATGTTTAAATATTCCACAGAATAAAGTTACTCCATTAAATTAATATTTAGATACTGTATTCTGAATTTAATAACAAAATGATTCTGCCACAAAATTTGCTGTATCAAATACTGTATGATTTAATTATCTCCTTTAGTGCTCACCAATTGGCGCCACTGGCGTATTTCATCCTATTAGCTCAGTATCGATGTGATGATTCTCCACCATGTTTCATTTTCATCACTTAACCAATACTAGAATCTTTATCATAGCTTGCATAATAGTGTTCTTAATATAAATAAAACAAGAACTATGATCATGAGCAAACATTGTCTGCAATTAACCATTCTAATTTTACACAAGCCTTCAGTTAGACTGACCTATTATTGTTTTAGGTGCAATAAAGAAAAGTCATGATGACAAAGTAAAAGATGGAAAGTCATTATAACGTACTATACGTGTACGACGTGCTCCATCGTGGACTGCATCATTGCTTACTACCGGGTGAAATAGTGGTCAAACATCGGCCCATCTAATACAACAAAATGATGACAAAATAAATGTCTCGTCACACGTGGAGCATACTATTTCAGTCAATATTATTGACAAACTAAGATTGACTATGTCATTGTAGAATAATATAAGAATTTTGTATAGACATATCCATTGTACAAGTCAAAGTAGTAGCCCTAAAGGCATATTTTTTATCCAACTCCTAACAACTTGAAAATTGAAAGATGGGTTCTGAGAAGGTGAAAAGATAAGGGATTACTTGGACATCATACCCTGAAGGAGTTTCGAGTGTA